AAAAGATAGATTGCTGTTACAGGAGCCTCACTAATGTTCTGTTTCTCCCCTTTGTTGGCTCTGGAATGCCTGATATTCAGCCACCTGATTGAGAGTTAATAAATAAATTCAATCTACTCTAATATGCCTCTTAAATATATTCTAGTTATGGTAAAAACAAAGACATCAAAGCTGTCTCTTTTATTTTAACAAGACAAAACACCTAGTTAAACCTCTCATTTTTATTTCTAGGTTTGCAATTTACTCAGTACAGTTAACCTTTAAACATATATGGAATATACAGAGACAGGATATCAAATAAAATGAAAGATTTCTTGCTTTTAATGTATGGCATTTAAATACTCCTTTATTGTACTATTTATAAAACTGTTTTATAGAACACTAAAAAGTAAGGGGCTGTTTAAAAATGTTAATCTTATAATTAATAGTCAGAGGCATAAGCTTTCCCCCAGCACAAGGCACTGATATTCTAAATCTGTCACTCTGAACTTTACAGTAGGAGACAGCCATCTGCCTGCATGCAGCTATATAAAACAAAGGAAGAATATATGCTCTTATGTTTCCCCTGGTGAGATGCAGGATCATTATGATAAAGTAGGCAACAAGCTTTAGCTAATATGAATTAAGACAGCATATGTTCAGGGGAAAAAAAGAACATATTTAGTCAAATTAATTCTATAAGTCAGTGTTATTAGGTGATTGGATAATGGAGAATTTGATAAAGCAGAATATATGATGTAGTGCTAAGTAAATAGGAAATATGTGTCTGGGTGACCCATTACTAAGTCCTGCACCCTCCCTCCCCCCACAAATCCTCTTTGCGTTTTTGAATCTGGTGCCATTTTAGTTAAGTCCTATACTTTAATTTACACCTCCATTTTGCTGTGAAACATCAAAGTTGTTAAAATAAAATACTTTAACATTCTCTCACAGGCTAAGAATATTAACTGGAAGCAAAAAGGAGCAAGCCTTGTGAAGAAAAAAATCAATTTCCAACACATTTTTACATCTAGATATCTGTGCAATTGCATTTTTCCCCCAGAAAGTCGTGTTCTTTAATCAGTTGTGTCTAGATTTTCTGAAATTTGAGTGCTTTTTTTTTTCTTTTTGGTGCAGTTTGGGATTCAGGACCTTTCCCGTGCTAGGCAAGTGCCTTGACTGATCTGTAGCCCCAGCCCTTGAAATTCAAGTACTTGAAATTCAAGCCCTTAAGTCTGCTTTCTACATTTCAGTCTAACTAAAATACAGTTCCTTTTGGGTCACCTAATGTGTTTTCAGTTTAATTTTAGATGGATCATGATAATACCTTCTTTATTAACAAGGTATTAGATCAATACTAATTTCTATTTTCTCATTTTAGAAATTTTATATTTGAAATAAAACTTTTTCTTTCTGAAATTAAATACATATAGACACACTTTTATACCAGATGAAAAAGTGCAACAATTTAACATTTCTATATTATGCCTTCACATTAGAATTGATTTTCTAACTAGTGCAGCAATATACATTGTTGTTGAACGTGAACTCTGCAGTCAGCCAAGATTATTTCTAATCCTATTTCTATTATGTACAAGCCTTGTGACCTTGAGTGAGTGATATAGCAACTCTAGGCTTTATTCTAGAATTCTCATTTGTAAATGGAGGTAATTTAGAAAGCCTACTTCAGCCAGGTTTCTCTGAGGTTAAGTGAAATGTATAAAGCACTCAGAGCAGTGTTTGGTTAAGTCAGTTATTTGCAAATTTTACTCCTGAAGCAGAAGTTCATATACAGCAGCTTCCCACCCCCATCATCTTCAAGGATACATACATTCCAAGATACCTGAATGGATCTTGAAACCTCAGAAGGCTGAAACCTCAGATGGTACTGCCCTCTTATAGCTATTGTACTTTTCCCTATACAAACTCACTTGTAAGTAATATCTATCACTGAGCTACATCCCAGCCCTTGAAATTCAAGTACTGCTAAATCTACTTTATGATGATATAATTTAACTTTAATTTATAATTAAATATAGTTTTCATTTATAAACAAGGCATAATAAGAGATTAACAATAATTAAAAGAATAGAACAATTAAAACAATATACTGTAATAAAACTTATTTGAATGTGACCCCTCTATTCCCTCAAAATGTTATTCTACTTTCACTTTTTCACTTAAAGAAAGTACTCTATGGCATCTCTTTGGCACGTCCAAATCATCAACATCACAATTTGGTGTTACTATTAAGTAAAATAAGGGTTACATGAACATAAGCACTATGATACAAACAGTAGCTGATTGGATAACCTAGATGATCACTAGGTGAGTACTGGGGTAGGTAAGTATAAAGAACGGATACATAGATAAAGGAACGACTCATTCATTCTGGGCAGAATAGAGCACGAACACAAGATTTCAATCTAAAATTTATGCATTGGTTATTTATAGAAATTTTTCTATGATATTTTCTGACCACAGTTTGGCCACATATAACTGAAAAAAGTGAAACCATGGCTAAGGAGGAAGCTAGTATATTTTAGATGTATATTATAGTCAATAAAATTTGTATTCAAGAAATTATTTTAATGGTTATCTATCTGCAAATTTCAATTAATTTGTAGATTATAATCATTAAATAGTCAGAAAATTTCTAAGAAAATTTCTATCTACAAATAGAATAAATATAAATAAATAAAGATGAATACGGAAGATTTAAGGATTTTATCTAAAGTTAAGTTTTCACCAGGCAGTTGACACACTTTGAATCTGGCATATAATATTGTTTATTGAAATCTGCACTTAAAATTTGTGGCATCTGGGCAAGATGGATCATTCTATAAAAAGTCATTCATGTTACCAGATTCCTGAATTATGGGCCTTTTTCAAATATTAACACGTGAGTCTGGATTCTAAGGAGCATACTATTACAAATTTTATTTTAGGCCTTAGGCTACAATCACAAACCTACTCTTGGTATTATTTATGACTGAAAGAAGACAGGTACTTTCTTCAAATGTAAGTAGTAAATTATTAAAATAAATACTATTTTTCATTTTAGAAAAAAATAATTTCTAATTTTGAAAATGCACATCACATTATACTGTTATATTGTTAGATGGAAGCAAGTCCCCAGAAAAAGAGGCAAAAATAGCAAAATTACAGACAATAAGCTATGATAACTCATAGGCTAAAAATAATACTGATGTATGAATTTTGTTTTGCGTATTAAGTGTCTTGTGTGTTACCAAATTAAAGTGTGTTTTAGAAATGCACTTTTAAACCAGTAATAATTATTAATAAAATATTGGCCATAGATTCTGATTATTATGTAAAATACTGGTGTTTAGCAAAACAGTATCGCCCAATAGTAGTTCTTAAAATATTATAATTTAACAGGAAAAACAGTTAAAATATACAAGGTAAAAAGTGATTAATAAAATAGAAAAAAAATTCCAAGAATGAATATAGGGCAGAATTCCAATTCTTTTTCTGAGGTCAGTTTTCTACATTCTGCTACCCAAAAAACCAAATACAATTAAACCTGAGTCAAGCCTTAGGTTTAACTCTAGATAATCCTGAGTTTCTGTTCTTCTTGAGGAAAGTGTGGGTTGTTTTCAGAAGAGTCAAAACTACTAAATGAGGAGTTAAAGGATGAAGAATCACCGATATTAGGGTAGGAAGAAATAATCACTTTGAAGGTTACTCTGTGTCTAATACTTGTGAGGAGGTAAATGCACAATCAGACATTAAAATATGAAAGCATATTTGAAGGAAAATTAGAAGATTTTATTTAGTGCAAAATTAAAGAAAACGTCCTATAGGTATTTCAAATGGCTAATTGTGTTGCTAAAAGAGTTTTACAACTCATATTTTTTCCCTTTACTTGTACTCATAGAATGTAACATAGTTGGTCTCAATTATAGAAAAGACATACCTTGTGATATTTTTCAGAACATGAAATGTTCACCCAAATGTCAAGCCACAGTGTAATGTGTCTTCAAAAATATTTTACAGTTAAAGACTTTAAGAATATTTATATGATGTTTTAAAATGAACACAACAATAAACTTTGTATTTCTATGCTTTTTGTTATATTTGTTTGCTTACTTCTCTAAATATTAAAACATTCCTCCACATGACGAAGGTCTCTTGGGAAGAGGAGTTGGATAACATAAATAGGTACCTTTGAATAAGCTTGAGAGCATCATCCCTCATTTTAGCATTTAAAAGGGAATTATTCAATATAATCTTGGATAAATAATGAAACTCTCTGTGATGTAAGTCATAATCTAGTAATAATCCTCATTCCCACCTCCCTAATTTAGAACTACTAATTAACTTCACATAGACAACAGTGACACTTTTCAGCTATCAGTGCAGGACCGAGTAGCACACAATGACCTAATACATTTGTACTGTGCCCAAGGCGTTTCCGATTTTACTTGCCCAACACTGATCTAATTAACTGAAAACCTCTTAGGAGTCTATTAGCTGTTGACAATAGGGATTTTTAAAAAAATTCATAAATAGCTCCACTATTACTGAGACTATAATCTTAGGCACCAAAAAATAATGTGCTCTTTTTTAACACCAAAATATTTTAAAGATGGGGATCTGTTTATGAAATACAAAAACTCAGTGATTTAATTAACAATTAAGCAATGTAAATAGTATTGGAACTTGATTATGTCCATGGCAACAAAGGAAGGAGTCAACATTATTTTAGAAGTAACAACATAAATAACCTAACACCATATCTGAATTTTAACTCCTATTTTATGTGGAAATTGAAAATGTGTATTGAAGGCATTCTTAATGTAAACAAAACAAAACAAAAGCTTAGGTTTGCTTCTGAAGTATTAAACTGGAAGTATTTTATGAGAATTCATTTTAAAATAAAACTATAGATGTTTCTTGCTTATGCTAGTATCCAGCTGTAGACTTCCAAAGTGTTTCAATTCTCTTCTACTGGCTTAAGACGTTTGCAAAAGGAATATAGAAGTGTAAGTGATTACCTTTTTCACAGAAACGGCCTGTAAAATGTAGTGGACAGTCACACTGGAAGGAAATGACAGTGCTTGACAGGAAGAGGGGGTGGCAAGTGCCTCCATTGTGGCACTCATTTTCCTGGCAGACAGGTGGCGCAGCTGGAGAGAGGCTGAGGGAAGAACATCTGGAATTGGTCACTTGCATCATAACAGAAGGAACAACGGGGGCCATTGGAGACAGATCTTGAGATCTGTGATTTAGAGACAGACAAAAAGAAAAAAAAATAATGTAAATAAAAGCTCTTGGAACCTACATAGAGATAATAGGAAATTTGGTTTAAAATAAGAGGGAATACACGCGTGCAGGTGCACACACGTTGATCCAAGGTTTACTGAAGGCAAATAAGATGGTCATTTTATGTGTTGAAAACATCTGAGTCACAGAGTGTAACCTTGAGTGATTTACTAAGGTCTTGTTGTGTACTGGTTCTGAGAAGGTAAATAATTGTCTCTAAAGTAGTAAGAAACTTGGTGTAGGCCTTTGTAAGCCTACAAGCACATTCTCTTACAGAAAAGATTAAACTTTTTGCCTAACACAGTCCCTCTTCAACTATTTCAAATCTTATGAGCCTAAGATCAAAAGTGAGGCCATTTTGCATTTTGATGTTAAAATTGTTTGAACTTGAGTTATTTCTAGGTTGATTGCATTTCTCAAGGGGACTTGTATTTATTTCTAGAAGTTATCCAATTGATACCTTAGAAATGCCCAGAGGATTCCCTATTTTTTTTCATAAATATTACTACCAGTTTATTTTTTTTCTTTCTAAATAAATAACAAACAATGAAAATTTCCCTCTGAACTACATTGAAATTCCTTACCTTTACATTCAAAGTCCCTAGGCAATCTAATTCCTCTTTGCTCTTCCAGTTCACCATAGAATGATACCTAATAAAAGCTTTAAATTCTCTCACACCAAATGTGAGTATATTCTCTAAGGACTCTATACTTCCCTCACTGGGGAAACTGGTTCAAACCATTCTATGTGCATGATTGTTCCTTTCATCTTAGATTTCGCCTAAGTGCTACGTCCACACCTGAATTATTTCCTATAGTCTTCTCAGTTGCCCTTAGCCAGTCAAGATAAAGCTGATGATTCTCCCAGCTGTAAAGTCCGAGCGGTGGTCTAGCAAATGACTTTTTTTGCTAGCGATGGTGTAGAGCACATTTGCCATGTGCTCATGTAATTATTTTATATCAGACTTTCCTATTAGGCTATATGTAATCATAGTAAATATTTTTTAAACGTTTGAATTATTGTCTTTAGCATGCTATATACTCTTTGGGAAACAGTGATTCTGGAATTTTCACTTAATATAATCATGAGAGAATTATCTTTTTAACATAAAAATCTTACTGCAATAAAAATACTCAACAACTTTTCTGAGTAAATATTTACTTTGTACATTGTCTTAAAGATAAAACCTTAGCAAAGGAGATTAATTTTAAGATGCACTAACTGAGGCTGAGGTTGTGGCTCAGTGATAGAGTGTTTACCTGGAACGTGTGAGGCTCTGGGTTCAATTCTCAGCACCACATACAAATAAATAAATTAAATAAAGGTCCATCAATGACTAAAAACATATTTCTTTTAAAAAAAGATGCACGGACTGACATCAGAGATTTAAAATACATACTTTTTTTGTATCTACCAAGTGCACTAATGTCAACTTATTAGCATAAAAGAGATGAAAATGAAATAGATAATAATCTATAAAAAGGTTTTGCTAATATAATATTAATGTAAAGATTAGTTCTTTATTTTTACAATCCTTTTATAGCCTGAAATTGTTCTTTCCAGAGTTCATCCCAGATTTGTAACAATATGTTTATTTTTATGACTGTTTGAGCCTGATTCTCTTCTTTTACCTCTAGATTGCAATCTCCATGGAGGATGGATGGATGAATCACCTCTACTCTTTCTTTCATTTTATCCCTAAACCACAATGCTTGACTCCCTAGCAGGTTTTCTGGGAAATATTTTATACATGGATTTGAACCTTTTTTTTTGGTAAACACGCAATATACCACACTACTAATTAGAAAGATAGCTAGTAAAAATAATTTTATAATCCTAGGATTAATTTCATAACTCTATGATATGACTTTTTAGTTTTATAAATAATATAAACTCTTCACATTTAACTTTGTCTGTTTTTTTTTTCTCTTGTAGGCTTAGCATAATTTCTCCTAGTTATACTCACAATATAGGTAGTCCCTCTAAGGTAACTTTCCTCAAGTGTAATGGCAATGCTAATATGAATTACCTGAGATTTATTGCTGAGTACTCCGTGTTCTAATTTAATTTCTAGTTTTAGTGTTTCTGAGTGATTTCACCATTTAGTCTAACACTTGCCATGGAATTCATGAACTGCAGTCAATCACCTCTTTCTGAGGAATAAATTAAACTGAATTAAATGTCACTACTTCCCTCTCATACTGTGGCTGCTCAGGGAGCCTGTGTCTCACCTGAAAGAATCAATATGTTGCACATTTTAGTTGTTAACTGATTACACAAAATAATTACTATCAATTGATCCATCAATTAAAATATCAGCATCATAAATCAAATTTTGAAAGCAGCACTAATCAGATACATTCTATGTTATAAAGATTAGATTGCATATCTGTTATATCATTATGGCTAGTTCTTGATTTTCAGCAGTTTTCATGAGTTATAAATTATGCCATGAATTTACCTACATTAGAATTTAAAATGAAAATAAAATTAATTTGATCTCTTATATATTTAAAAAGAAAGATTTATTCTGATGGCCACATTTTTACTTATTTGTACATAAAGGTAAATAGCTTAAAAATATCAAGTTAATATTGAGGTTTGGCCATAATAATATAATTAATATTAAAGTTACAAATCTTTTCTATTCTAGAAATTATATAAAAGTATGAGAACTTTGAAAGAGATCACGGTTTGAAACTTTCAAAATTATTTTTTAAAGACATAATATTATTAAAATTGGAGTTCTTTTCCTTTCTTATATAAGTTTTTGATTTATTCTGTGTCCAAAATGATTAGTATGAAAACTTTGATTGCTTCTGGATAACTTTGTACAAGGATGTAGAAATGTACCACCCATTGTTATAATAAGATATAACCTCTCAAGAACTTTTTCTTAATGATTTCATTTCTGAATATCATGCTTATTTCGTTCAAAACCAAGCCTGATCATTCAGGAAAAACATGTAGATAGGATAGATTTCCAATCATGTTGTAGAGATCTAATTGGAACCAGAAAGAAGGACGCATACTCATTGTCTTCATCCCAGGTCTGTCCTTCCAGGGGATTCTACAGAATCGCTGAGTTGCCAAGATGTAGAACACCACTGGGCTAAAAAATTGCTTTGCTTTTCTTTAGCCTAGGGATTCTGCTGATTGGCAACTGACTTTGTCACTTTTAGGTAGATACTTGTCTGCCTTCAAATTCTGAAAAAGATTAGTGGGCTCATTCAGATGTGTGAATTCTGGGAACTCTGCTTCACAATAGAGATATAAGAGAATTTTTGGAATGACGATGTGATATTAAATAGAAATGAAGAAACTCAAGTAGAAAATTCTTGATCTTAGGGCTCTGAATACGTAAGAATAGAAGTCTGAAAAATTGTTAGATTTTAGAAAGTGGTAAAATAAATAAAATAAAAAACTTGTACCTCATGCAAAGCAGCATATAAAGAGAAAATTTTTTAAAACACCTCCCTGCTCCCATTTCCTTTAGCATTCACTCCTCACCACATACCCTCAGCCCAGCCCTAGGCACCTTAAATTGACTTTCTATCCTATAGATTTGCCTATATTTAACATTTCATATCAATGTAATCATCTAATATGTAATCTTCATGCTGGCTTTTTACTTTGACTAGTGTTTTCATAATGATGTATATATTAGAACTTTATTTACCTTTTAGTGATTGTAAGCAACATTATTATGTACATTAATATTCAAATTTTTGTCTGGGTGTATGTTTTTATTTGGGATATATTTAGAAATATAATTGTTGGATCATATATTTTATGTTTAAAATTTTCAGCCACAGCAAATTTATTTTACAAAAAGGCTTCACCATTTTACATTTTTACCAGCAAATATGAATGCAGGCTTCTCCACATCCTTTCCACATACTTGATGGCTTATTATTGTTATTATAAACTTATTAGCAACAGAAGAGTTCCTTTGATCAAAATTTCTGCCTTTCTTCTACCTTTTAGCCATGACATCATAAATTCTCAGAAGTGGTATGTGCATTTATACTTTTACGGAATTTACCAAATTTCCCTCAAAATAGTTGCTACAATTCATGTAGTGAGACATTTTACCATATTTATGATAATCCAAATGAACAATTGTATTATTAAGTTTAAATTTTCAGAAGTTACCAAAAAGTAATTACTTGCTCTTTTTTCAAATCATGTTTATTCATTTATACATGTGGTAGGAAGAATAATGCTCCCCCAAATTAAAAATGATTTTCTGAATTGGCCTAACTAGGGTCTGTTACATTTTCCTGGAGTAATGGCAAAGGAGCTGCTATGAAGAACTCCCATTAAGAGTGGTACCCACCAAAGAATGTGGCTGCTTATCCATCTTCCTAAGTTATCTGTTTCTCTACTTACATGTGATCAATTTTCATACCTATAAACATATACACTTAACTTGTGTTTAACACACCTTTATGTATATCTACATCTAACACTATAACTTTATTTTTTAATCTCCTACACTATTTCTGTAGTGTTTCTCAGTGGTCAGGCCCTCAATTTTCACACATGATATCTCATAACACCCAATATTGTCCTAGTGATGGTTGCTAACATTAATAAATCCAGAAAAAAATTCAATTTCTGCTTTAACTTTCAAAATTCTAAAAACATCAGAATAGCCCAAAGATAGTTAGACATATTGAAAATAGCTTCGAAAGTTTAAATTACCATTCTCAGCTCTAACGTTTTATATTGTTTTAGTTTGATCAAATAACTTTGAAAATCATTAATCATTGTGAATTTTATCTGGGAGCAAAACAACAGATTTGCTATTTAAAATATATTCAACTGACATTTTTATATTAAAAGAAGAAATATGTAAAATTACTGGTATACATGTAAAATTCTCATTTGTCAACCAAAAGAATAATTAAATATCAAAACAACAAATTATATATGGGAAAATCAATCTAAAC